AATGGCGGATCATCAACGACCACAGAGAAGCGGACAGCACGCGGTTTTGTTTTTTGTTCACGGTTAATACGCCCACCGCAGTATTGCACGTATGCATGCTGAACTTCTTTCGCCAACGTACGTAGCCAACCGCGCTAATCGGAGGTGCGGGAATTGAGCAGGACGGCCGCTGGATTGGAACCGTAAACCTGTGGAGCAAGAGGCGGATTTTGCGCGACCGCTGAGCCGTGTCACTGCCGTGTCAAATCTGCGCTGCAGCCCGCGCTGCTGCTGTGACGTCAACGGATCCAAATTAATTGACGATTTTCGCCAGCAGAGAACGCTAATTGGAGCTGCGTATTAATGTCGATCATTATCAAGATCTTACAATTATCTCTCGGCTTTTCTTAGTCGTGCTCTTGTGAAATATAATTGATAAATATCACACGAGTTGCCTTGTCCCAGCCTCTGCTCGCAGAGGTGCGCTTTCATGAGAAAAGAACACTTGATTAATGACAATCGAGCTATAAAATGCTATTACACCGATTAACAAGTTGTGACATACTGGCGAGTGTTCTTTGTGCAAAGCGACGTCAAATTATATTTCTTTATCTGGATGGCGCTGTCACAATGCTGAACTCTACAACAAAGAATTGCGGATAATAAAACGACTGCTGTGGAAAGTCCACAATGGCCGTCCTGTGGAGACAGCGGTCTGCACATTGTCACAGGAATGTGGAATTTCCACGGCTGGCTTGCCCCAGGCTGACTGGAGATGAACGATGCTCCCTGCTTGCACGAACGCGGCGGAGTTGTTCTTGAATTGTCATCCAGAGCCGTGAATCAACCGCGCTCATGGTTTCGTCCCCGCGTTTGTCACATCACAGAACCATTTTCTAAAATGTCAGCCTGACCCTGTCCAATTCCGGACGGCTGATAAAACGTAATCAGCGGCGACAAAGTCTCCCGGTTTAAATAGGCACGGGGCGTGCGCTCATCCTCACGAGTCATACTGAGCGAGCAGTGGAAATTCAAACTCCTGGCAGGGTCCGCTGCATTCCATACGACAACTATGCGACAACAACTGCTGGCTTTGCATGAATGTTGTGCTTAATGAAGTTGATGATGATTGTAGATTTTATAACAGCAACTCAATCTTCTTCTTCTTCTTTTGCATGACATGTAAGCAATAGTTTGTATAGATGTCATCGTTGAATGTTAAGGTCCTTCAACTGATCCAAGGTGGCAGTAGACGCTCTACGGATACCGCCAGGGTGTGTATAGATGGTGCACTCGGCAGCGATGTGTTTGATGGTTTGGGCTTTACCATAGTTGCAGTTTGGTGATTCTTTGATTTTCAATTTAAGATGCGTTATTTGGTGATACTGCATCGGGAAGTGGTGCAGAAGCAGAGGCAACAAAAAAACGAAATCAACACAATTTGGCAATGACATTGCCCTCAAAGGAAAACATATGATGAGCGACGTTTGGGCAATGGGCATTCTTCAGAGCACATGGTTAGAGAGAGTGGTGCTCTCATCGACGACGGGATTTAGAAGACCACTCCGAGACGTGGGCTTAATTCGTTCCTTATATTCGCTCGACGAAATAAATATTTTTTGCACCGATTTCTTTGCTAACGAGGACTATTTCCTTTAACCTCTTCATCCCAGGGTCTCCCTCGTCGTCGAAGGGGCAACTGCTGTCTCAATGCACTCGCGCGCACACACAATTATGGGTGAACGCGAAGGGGCGATAGTTTGAGATATGTGCACGACTGACTCCCACACCATTACACATGTCTGCTCATTCGGTTAACGAATAGTATTGCAGACTTTTCAAATGTCTTATTGGTGTTTAAATGCCGTGCGTTTTTTATGTTGAACGGTAGAATGTAAGAAGCCTGTAATGTGAAGATACGCACCTTCTGAGAATAAAAAAAAACATGCGCGTAAAAAATTGCGCTGCCAACTTTGAGCACGGTTAAATAGGGGAATTAAAGATGACATCGGAGACGTGAAAGAACTACTTAAATGCTTTAAAACATCTGGGACGGAGGAAGAACGAGGAAAAAATATGTACGATTTCCATTAAGTGGAGCCAGAGAGAAAATTACAGCAGTCGACTGAGGAATGGAAAACGAAATTGCAGATGGTTATAAAGATAACCCTTAATATGTCCTCGGATATATAGGCGGAAGGAGAACTGCTTGTGTGCAGTTGGGCCAATTAAATGAAGCAAATGGAAATATAAAGGGGGAGCGAGAATCCAAAGAGGGGACACACAGCGATGGGGGTGGAGGCATGACATCCCATGTAACAATTTTGATTTTTAATCTTTGGAAAAGCATTTGTTTTGGTAATTAAAATATATAGACAGAGGACCCGTTCTCATCTCTGGCAGAGCAGCGCAACCGATCGTGATAGAGGACGGCCCATGGAAGCGGACATCATAGAGCTACCTCTGAAAGCCCTTCAAGTGACCTTTGTACGACACTGTTGGGGGCAGCCCGCTCCCAGCTGCTCTGCCACCGAGAGTGATGTGCATCACGTGACAGTACAACTGATATTTCAATGATCAAATATGGAATTTAGTCAAATTAAGTTCACTACCAAATTTTCTGTGATAGATTGTTTTTGTCGTGTTTGGAGTCATTCATTGGTGGTTAGGCTGATACCGTCAATGCACTACACTTGAGAAACAATTTTAATCAGGGTTGTCTACCCAAATTCAAACCTAGAGTCTCAACAGCTTCAGCTCAGTGCTCTGACCTCTAAGCTATCCAGCAACCTGCCAGATATCGAGAAAATGTAAAGTTTGCGAGGAGCAAGGTGAGAAGAGAGGAGGAGGCTTGCGTGAGTGGAAGGATTAGACCGAGACCACTTATACTAAAGGTAAGACTGCGAGTAGCGGAGACTCTTCTATCTGGGTCAGAAGGACCAAGGTCGACCCCTCCACCACCTCGGTACGGTTGCCGGGCACTGCAAAGCAAACTTCAAGAAGTGGGGTCAATCTCGACCAGGCCTGGAGCACCAGGTGCATCAGACGAAGCTTCCCTCATCTCGCTCCACTGTCGTCTGTTAGAGGAGTCATGCACAACTGATGATTCAAGCATCCGATATTGACTGCGCGATGGGGGGGGGGGGCATGTCCCCCACAAATGGCCGTCATTGACCTGACCAAGTTGATTCGATGGACAGGAAATGAATGAAACAGCTGACAGCAAAGGCACCAATCTGCTTGTGCTATTCTGCTGACAGTCACAATGCTTGTCTGGTTGCCAGAGGTCGAAGAGAGGTCACTGCTCAATTTGTGTTAATGAAGGTCTCCTTATCATAGATATACTAAGTGGTCCATTTATAGACACCCCACTAAAATAATCGAGGGAAATTATCTTTAAAAAACCATGTTTTTTCAAGTTATAAAAAAATACTTTCGTCAGTCTCAATAAACAATTAAATCTTGTAACACTCATTTAAGATACGGAACCATCGCTTTCACAATATTCAATCAGCTGCTATTAACAAAGTAAGAGGGGCATTATAAATCAGGGGTGTCTGTAAATGGATCGCTCTGTGTATATAAAACCACGAGCCAAGACATGCTCCCTACAAATGGCTCAGGGCCTTATATAAACATGGGGCCCATCTTACCCCAAGGAAGCCTTTAATCAGCGTAAGGTGACAGAGAGGACCGGAAATAGAGGTGAGGAGTTAGGTAAACTTAGATATATTTTTTATATTATAGTCTTTAAAACAGATCAAGTCGGTGGGACAACGCGAGCAGTTGGACGGGCCTCTTCGTGAGAGATGATTGCAAATGGTGGAAAATGTGAGTTTGTAAACATGACGCTAAATCAAACTATTGTTTGTAATATTTCAAACGTTAACACATTGATCGTATATTTACATTACATTATAGTGTATATTACAGAACTTTGCCCTATGTGTTTTTTTTAAATCAGAGACAGCGTCACACTGTTTTGAAATGTATTTTACATTGGTTAAGAAAAAAATATGGTTTCATATTTGGTTCCAGCGGCATTATTGTAAGCCGAGGTAAAACAAAACAAGGTTTTCCATGTTTACCACCCATACCTTCTAGGAGTTTGGTTTTCAGTTGTGTCATGGGCATAAACTCAACTACCATTGTGGCAGATTTTAGCTTCATATCTCTTTATTCTATAAGATCTTGAGCCTTAAAAGTCAGTTGATCTGTTAGTTATCCGTCAGTTGTGACCGTCCATAGATTATATTTATAACATTCTATTAATTTATAAATATATAATGTATGGTATTAGCTTACATTAAATCGTACGTTTGTAAATTGTAAGTTTTCATTTTATATTAAATCTCGCTAAAATCTTTCCACCTTCCCCGAGGCAAGGGAGTTCTCTATTGGTCGGACCAAAATTTCGTACAGTGTTTCTAAATCTAGATTATAAATCGCCTGTTTTGCTTCTTTGTCATTTGGCTCATCCTTGTTTCTCGAGTTAAGCAATCACACTTGAATCTTGAACTCCAGCTGCACCCGCTCGGCTCCCGTGACACCGAACAACCCATTCGAACCAAGAGCCATGGCCCAGAACTGCCGTTTCTTTTCTCGCGTACGATGCCAGCGATACGTTCAGGAGCTAAATGCAAATGACGAGGTCTGCTCGCCACGAGAGGACACTTCAGGAGAGAGTTCGTGGTAGGTTTTTTTTTTTGCTTTCCCTCCGTTGAAGGTGCACAGTCTACAGTCGTTGACTACGTGGTCCGTAGCTTGGGGTTGCACGGCCACAATCCCACTGACGCTTGTCCTTCATCTGACACGTTTGCGAGAGGGCAGCCTCCTCGCGGTGGCCCACCTGTTACGCGTTTACCGTGTCGCCTTAATCCGCGACTAACACCGGCGAAATCAACACCGTCAAAGTCGAACACCAGACGCGATCGGTAGAGCTAGCACCGCGCGTACAAAACCCAGATGGCGCCCACGGCGCTCTCTTTCCCCCTCCGCGCGCAGCGTGACGATCGACTCACGTGGGATCTTGTTGAGCTCGTTCATGAACTTGTCCTTAAGTTTGCTGAAGGCGTCCCCCTTGCTGCCGCCGGCCTCCGTGCCATTCCCGGACGGCGCCAGGGCCGGAGCTTCGGAGGCGGTGGTGGCGGCCGTGCCTGGGGGCACCACGGCCCCTTGCATCGCCGCGTTCATCGCGGGGCCGTCTCGGTGGCGACGGCGGCGGTGGTGGAGGCACGGGAGAGGGCGGCCGGGCGAGGAATGGTGGCTCGGGCCTCCTTCACTGCGGTGTCTTTAACTCTGCAAGGCAGATGAGACAACGGTTATTTTGAACGGACATAAACAAGAATTTCCACTGGCACAACTGAGCCGAGCCAGCGCGGAGCCCTACCGGCACTGGTGGTTTTCCACTGGCTATTTGCAAACCCAAACCGTGATCCACACTGGCCTCACAAGACATAATAATCCAGCAAGGCCAGGGGCCGGACTAATGACACGTTCATCTCCAATCATCGCCCTGCACCACTGTTGGGAGTTTTACATTACCGTTCCTATGGCAGGGTCTCGTATCAAGCCACTCAACAAAAGGTGAATCTCTAACAAGTCAGACTCAATGTTTCGCTGCTGGAAGGATAACGGTTTCGAGAGGTAACCTCGATCGGGATCTTAACTTACTGTAGGTGCTTCCAAATACGAGGTGGGTGCTCTGCGAAAGCCTCACACGGTAACATTCATCCTCGAGTGAAACTGAAACGGTATTAGTGTGGCCGTGCAGAGACGTGGCAGAGCACCTGTGTCACTGTCAGGCGACCACGAGTTCAAATCTTGGTTGGTGGTAAATTCATCACTTCCAGGGTCAAAAAAGTGTGTTCTACTATGTGAGAAGTCACGTGTGTTCTACTATGTGAGAAGTCACGTGTCTTTTACTATGTGAGAAGTCACGTGTGTTCTACTATGTGAGAAGTCACGTGTGTTCTACTATGTGAGAAGTCACGTGTGTTCTACTATGTGAGAAGTCACGTGTGTTCTACTATGTGAGAAGTCACGTGTGTTCTACTATGTGAGAAGTCACGTGTGTTCTACTATGTGAGAAGTCACGTGTGTTCTGCTATGTGAGAAGTCACGTGTGTTCTACTATGTGAGAAGTCACGTGTGTTCTACTATGTGAGAAGTCACGTGTGTTCTACGATGTGAGAAGTCACGTGTGTTCTACTATGTGAGAAGTCACGTGTGTTCTACTATGTGAGAAGTCACGTGTGTTCTACGATGTGAGAAGTCACGTGTCTTTTACTATGTGAGAAGTCACGTGTGTTCTACTATGTGAGAAGTCACGTGTGTTCTACGATGTGAGAAGTCACGTGTGTTCTACTATGTGAGAAGTCACGTGTGTTCTACTATGTGAGAAGTCACGTGTGTTCTACTATGTGAGAAGTCAACTGAGACGATTTAGCTGCTGCTCATTAGACCATGAACGCATTCTTTTGAATTATATATGCGGTATGTAGAGAACTCCACGCATGTGATTTATTGGCTGTGTTGGTGCTTTAACCTTAGCCGCACGCAGGCAGTGAAATGGACTGAGAAATTAGTTTTGAGAAAAACAAACTCTCACCAAACACAAATACAAAGACATTAACACGTACAGCGGTGCCATTAGCGGAAGACAGACCCCCAATACCAATGAGATTCTTGAGAGGAAATGCAGCCAACAAAAGTTGCAGTGAAGAAGTCTCTTTCGACGGGTTTTTTTCATAAAAAAATAAGTCAGCTTTTAAAACAATTGATTTTGCGTCGCACTGCGATGGCATTGGTCCACAAACACAAATGGCAAAAAAACCCAACACGTCCGTCCATAGCACTCTACCAAAATGAAAAGTTGTAGAGCGGTTCACACTTCAGGCAATAGCCCTTTCTTCGTCGTGGAGAGAGCTACTATGATGACTGAATCAAGTTCAATTTTGATTTGAAGCTTTCGTGACTGCAGGGATTCATAGTCTTGGTTCTTTCGGTAAAGTCACGTAGAAGGGAAACAATAAAATAATAAAAATATAAAACGTCGTGAGAATTTTATTGTCCTAGCAGACAGTCTCGTCCCTTCACCTGATGAAGGCCGCTTGTGTTGTGGCCGAAACGTCGTGAGAATATTATTGTGTTATTTTATTTTATCAATTTATTATTTTATTCTCATTCTACGTGACTTTACCGAAAGAACCAAAGAAGATGAATATGAATCAAGTTCACCGGCAATGAAGAAGGGCCGTTGCAAGAAACGTCGCCGAGTACATATATAGCTATGTTTGTGCTCATTTTAAGGGCATTGCTATCGCCGAATGCTTCGAGTTTTAAACAGAAGCTGACATAAAACAACAACAACGGGGCTCATGATTTTGACGCGGTTACACATTTTGTTGGCCGTATAATACCAAACCGCGTTTGACCTCAAAAGCTCGCACTTTCAGTTTATTTCGTGAAAAAAAAATCTCTCTTCTCGAAGGCGCATGGCTTGGTGCTCATCTCCACTCGTGCAAATTCCACATTCGCACTACAGGGTCCGTTTTTTTAAAAACCATTATTATCATTATTGAGCCAAACCCCTTGTTGATGTCTCACTGTGGTGGCCTCATTTGAATATCCCCGGAAGAGTGATGGGCCGAGTCAACTTCCGTCCCGGATTTCTTTTTTTAATTTGTGACATTTTTCCGATTGCGAGCGCAAATAACGTTCTCACTCTGCGCCGCGTGTGCTTGACTATCGTTTGAATGGCGAGCGGGGACGCTGTTCCGAACGCCGACGTTGTTCGGAACTCGCGAGCTTCATGTAACAAAGGACATTGCTCCAAAACATGCATCCACTTGCTCAGCGCACATCCAATTACAGTTCTACAATTTGCATTGTGCGAGCCGTACACAGCGCCAGCACTGAACGCTAACAAAAGTGTTCTGATGCGCGCGCCAACTCCGGCAAATGTAACAATAACAAAACTGATATTGCCTCTCCAACCCTATTTTCCAGTTTTCTAATCTCCGTGTCAACAGACCACAGATATCTGCCACTGTTATTTAAGAAAGGAATTATTTTCAAATCCATTCTGCATGCTCATAAAAATAAATGTATGCAAATTGCAGCATTAAAGCACGGGGTTCCTGTGATGAATAAAGCTTTACCGGTTTTCGCAAACACATTACTTTTCATTAGGATTTCATCAGTTTTGACTCTAAGCCACAGACTGATGAGCAAGACTGTGCGTGTTGCATTCACCCAGACGGTTCTGCGCAGGCAAATGTAAACAACAATAAACATGAAAGCTTACAGTCCATTTGTCAATCCACTGCTGCAAAGAGGGCTTTACCCGTGTTGTGTTGGTCGTGGAGGGGGTGGGGGTGTTATTGCTCTCCAACCTGGTGGTACCCGTGGGCCCAGGAATCAAACTCAGGTTGCGCAGAAGTATTGCACAGTTGTGCTCACTGCTCTGAACGCCTTTGTTTTGGTGAAGGTGGTTTGCCCACAGGACCGGTTCACAATTTAACCCGTCACTCAACATTAGCCGTGGCCAGGAGTCGAACTTAGCCAGAAATCGTTCCCGTTTCTTAGCGTGGAGCAATATCCACTGTGCCTTCACCCCCTCCCCCCATTCAAAATAATAACAATGTTATGATAATAATCAAAATAAGCAATGATATATGCATGTTGAGCTTATTTCGCAGCCGTGCCTACTGTAGCAAACCGTGCTAATCGGAGGTGCGATAAATAACTAGAGAATCATATACATCGATGTGCACGTGATTACAATCGCAGGCTCGCTCGCACGCACGTGATTCTGGCGATGTAATACGCCAATGATTCGAAGATCCCGAGTTGAGTTCGCGGCTTACAAGCCGCACCTAACAACTTGTCACGGCTGATGATCTCAGCCGGTCAATTCCCTCCCCGACAGAGAGAGAGAGAAAAAAAACAACTCATCCCGAGGAGCTGATGCTCCAAAATTGTATTTTTTAGCATTTGCGCTGAAATGAAGTCACACCACCCCCCTCCCCCCCCCAGGCTGCGAAGGCGTGAACCGTGAATTTCGTCAGCTGAAGACCACCGAAGCGTTATCTCGCGGCGACTTACCAGAGGTGTGCCAATCAGAGATGCATTGAGCAGTTGATTGGGGGGTGACTACGTCATCCAACTCCGGGAGGGGGTTGTCGAGAATCAGGGCTGAGCAGTTGTGCTGTTGGTGTGGGTGCGCGGAGTGGTGGGGGGGGGAGATATCGGATGATGTGACGACCGAAGGGATGACGTTTGACGAGTCAAGCCGTATGCACGCGCAGAGGTACGGAGGTTGGTTACTTTTGAAAAGTACAAGTCAAAGTGACGTCCTCCTGTTGCACAAATCAGCATTGAGGCGGTGCTCATCTCCCGTTCAGAGCCCTGAGCCAGAGGTGGGGATTCCACGTTCCTATGGCGGGCATGAGTCTTATCCTCAGGATAACCGCTGTTGATTTCCCCGCAAAGCGGTACTTATTGTATGGATAATCAAGGTTTTTGGGTGAGATCGTGTAAATATGAACACGTCGTTAAACCCGCCACCACACACTGGAATTGTAAATGTTGTGGGTTTACTTTCCAACACACCGGTGTGCTGTCCTAGTAACGAATTGGCATGTTTTGTTTACATGACAAACCTTACTAATTGGCTCTGTCGGGTGGTGGCGGGTTTAACGACACATGTATACGTGCGTGCTCTAACCCAAAAACCTTTATTATAGATAATATCGGTCGCTAAAGCCGACTACGTGTTAAACTTATTGTATGGGCCGAGTCAACTAGGAGCTCAACTTCGCGACGTGTCCTACTGCAAGTCGCTCGCTTGATCGCTCGCTGAGCCACCTGCGCAGAGCGAAGTACTAGAGTTTAATGAGTTTAGTACTAGAGTTTAATGAGTTTAGTACTAGAGTTTATTGAGTTTAGTACGAGAGTTTATTGAGTTTAGTACGAGAGTTTAATGAGTTTAGTACTAGAGTTTAATGAGTTTAGTACTAGAGTTTATTGAGTTTAGTACGAGAGTTTATTGAGTTTAGTACGAGAGTTTAATGAGTTTAATACTCGAGTTTAATGGGTTTAGTACTAGAGTTTAATGGGTTTAGTACGAGAGTTTAATGACTGATGACTGGAGGTGTTTTAAAATAAATACATTACATATAGTAATCTTAAACAGTATACAGTACGAACAGTAATGTACAGCCCTTTGTCAATCCGTTCGTTGATGGAAGTCTCCCATGTCTGTCGTTGGGCTTTTCAACCATACTTCACCGTTC